ATCGTTACTGTCGTGTTCGCATTGCAGATTTATTTATTCTTCTCTTATTATTTTTCTGAAACTGCCATATTTTCGTAGATATGCCGAGTTCTCTATTCGGGATGAAAGGAAGAAAATACGGCGGGAGGGGTGAATGCTAATTTGTAACACGGCTGTTCACGTTGTGTTCTTAATTATTAACAGCTGTAGCATGCAGAACTATGGTTTCCACCCCTAAAATAATTTGTTTTCGTAGGTCTCAAAAATATACGTGTGCATTTTAAATAATTAAGTAATGCTTTTATTTTTTATTGGTTATGTCATCTAAATTATGAGAAAAATCAATTTTTATGGCGTAAAATTTAACAAGATACTATATTGTTAATGCTTCTCTAAAAACCTTCAGAGGATAGCAGGTGTGACATAAATAGATGATTAAATTGAAATAAAAAATGATTCATATCGAAGATGACAGAATAGTTTGATGCATAACTGGTCATCAAAATTAGCAAACCACTGCTGGGTAAGGAATATTGTTTTATGTGTTAACTGCCCTTGGCGACAAAACAATGTTTTTTTATCCCGTTTAACGAGTAATTTAGTACATTAATACTAATTAATTTTTATTTCCGTTATAAATGCTTTATTGTTTTCTGTGTTTAACTTGAATTTAATACAAATTTATTTTTCGTATATCACGTTTAACGGTTAGTTTACATCACATGCTTATTATCTGTGAATTTTACTACCATATGCTTAATATATTTTTTGTCTGCTAACTTAAATTTACATGCACTAAAAATCACGTTTACGGCGCGCTCATCGTCGATGAACCGCGAGCTGGCGAGTAAAAATGCAACAGCGCCAACGGGTTCTCTGCGGATGAAAACCCTTTGTTTCAGACAAAGACCGCATTTAGCTTTAAAAGCTTTGTCATCCATCAATATCCAGTCTTTGTAGTCAGCTTGATGAGGCCACAGCTTATTGAAAATGCACTTTCCAGGCTTCTCGTTCCTATTGGCGTCGGAAGGGTTCTGGCCTTCCAGGTTGGAATTGTTCTAATTTTGGCAAATATTTTCAGAATCCCCCACCCTTTTTTTTTCTCGAGCACCTTCATCATCACTTTCGCCTCTTAAAGAACTTCCCGCTTTCGTCACAATCTGCCTAAATTTATGGATAACACCTGTTTCAAAACATTGGGTGAATAGCCAATCAGACCCCGATACTTTCATTCTAGGCTAGGTAATTAATTTTTTATCGTTTGCAACGCAAATCCGCCAACAGATTGGTTAAGAACCGTGTAATTTTTAATTCCATATTCATGAGAAATCGCAATTCACTCTTAGAATGGCAATCATTAGAAATGATAAAAAATGTCAAATGAGCAAAATTAAGGACTGTTTATTCATTTTGACCAAAATTAAGGACTTTTAAGGACCAAAAATCATTTTTGAAAAATTTAAGGACCGTAGGAACCCTGTATTAAGGTGCAGTACATACATCTACTAATTGCTTACATATATTGTTGTGTTCATAATAGATTGAATTCCCACATTATCACATGATGATAGATTAATAAATTTATTTTATCAAAAGAAACACTTGAGTTCTCAAACTTTGCATAAAAATATTCGTACAGGTGTTCATAGAGTACGATCGGTAGTTACACTTCAAACTACCAAAGACATTAACCACAACGTGATAAAAAGAGAGTACATCTAAACAGCGAAGATTTCTCAGTACTCCTAATTCACAGCTAACAACAACTAAGAACAGATGTTCTTATATAATTTTCATCTGGCCGCCAAGATATTTCTAGTATTTTCTGCTTCTTTATTTTATGAACTGCAGTGCTTAACCACCAGGATGCCTGGGCGCCATAGCCCTACCCCTCATCGAATAACATGATAAAAGTTTCGAATTAATTTTTTTCCTTAAGTACCTAATTACTAATCTAAACATAATTAACTATTTTTTAACAACTATTTCACAGGAACAATATACAATAAAGAATCTGAACAACAATTTGCATAACACATATACAAAATTACTTAATACTAACATTTAGGATCGCCCTTCGGCGTTTACTGAAATTGGGGTCCCTAGTATCATAACAAGAGTTAACAACTACAGGATTGTCCAGAAGTTCCTGTTTATCATAAATTCCCTAGATAGGCGGCAAAAAAAATCACAAAGATCCTCTATTCTTAACTCTTTACGAATTAGGCTATTTCGAATGTACCAGGGGGCATTACATATCATACGCAATACCCCATTTTGGGCAGCTTGTAACTGCCTTCTCAAACTTTTGCACGAGTATGCCCAGACGAGGCATGCATAACTAAGAATTGGACGCAACATGACTTTGTAAATGAGCAACTTATTATCAATAGATAGAACACTGTTTCAAGCAATTAAGGGGAAGAGTGAAGCTTTGAAATTACTGGAAGGCAATATGAGGGACAAATTAGTCACAACTAATATAGTCATCAGTTACAATACTTATTATGGTGATGCAGGAACCGGACCAAACTGTCGCAAAGTTTGCTGATTTCTCGACAAAATCGTTGTGAGGTTGGCGATATCTCTCCAAATTAGCAAGACAGTCATTTACTCAATGTTAAACAGACTTGCTCCTCCATTCTTATTTTCCCAGCAAGCTTTATTCCTTTAGATTTTCGTGTTATCTTATATCAAAGAAATACAACAATTTCACTAAAATCATTTATCTATGTACAAAATTTGTAGCGATAGTCAGCAGTTTATGTTTCAGCAATCAGCAGACAATTTCTGTTAACCACAGAAAATTGCTGGCATAGCAATAAATTAACTGTTAAGGAGGTTCTTTCTAAAATGATTTAATTCTAAGTTTTTAAACGAGTTCAAAATGAAAATATAGATATAATAAATTCATTAAATATTATTGTAGAAATCTGTGAGTAATCTATTTTGATTTTCTTGGTAACTGTTACCCTATTGCTTGTAAAACAATTTCGCTTTTAACAAGTCACCTTACATAACAAATTGATAATTTTTTTTAACCTCTGAAAATGTATTAATAGATTTATAGTGTATCTGCCAACTTTAAAATATGAAAAATTGGGTGCTTCTGTGAGGTTTTCATGTTTAGTGGTAGCACCACTCAGCAGAACTCGAAATTAACTAACCGAAATTTACTTTACAATGCATGACTTATATTACTTAATTTAATATTTATAATGTGATTTTATGTAAAAATTATTAATGAATAATTATATATCCTAAGATTTATGTTCTTTGGCTAATTTGTTTTGAAATTTTCTTACACATTTATAGTGAGAAAATCCTGAGTAGGGAAGAAATTTTAAATGTGACAAGAATAAAATGAATAATTAATGCACATACTATTAAGTCGAAAATTTTAGTAATATCCTATTAAAATTGTAATTAATAATTGTATAACAAAATTAGATAGAATTATTAACTGATTGAATCTTCAAAAATTCTCCCAATATCTACAAAATATTAAGGTAATTCAGAACAAATAAAATTTAATAAGAAAAATATGCTGAAATAGAAGTGGAGGAATGGAATGTGTATACTCAAGTTTTATTAATTCAATAAATTTCATTTACTGTTCAAAAACACTTTTTTAATACTTTTCCTGGTAAATGCTAAAAACCAGGAGATATGATTACAAATCGAGAGAGTTGGCATCTATGACGTACTGATTTGTGCACTCAATTCATATAATTTTGAACATTTCTTCAATGTGTAGAATATTATATAAATTGTGGGCTTTAATATCACTACATCACTTTTTACAAAAACTGTTTCTATTAAGGCCAAAAAATTAAGTTAGAGTAAGAATGACAGGAAAAAGTAAAAGTTCCATTGAGAGGGAATTACTGCTTCACTTAAAAGATAAAGTTTGTTTAAGAAGAACCAGAGTTCTCTTTATTAAAACACTCATGCCAATATAAACTGAAAGTTTTTAAAGAGTATATTTTTAACAATATCAACATTTTAAACCCTTAATTCCTGTAGCATTTATTACATTGTTAAAAAAAATACCTAAGAGAAATTACAAAATTTTTCTTAAAGCTAATGGCAATTTCACAACCTGTTTTTCTTTAAATAATGAAAAGAATCAATGACAGTGATAAGTAATCTCAAGACCTCAGAGCTGTTTAAACAAAATAATCATGCTTATTAAATTGGAACTAAACACAATGGAGAAATGAATAAATTATAAATTGCTCCTGGCAGTAAAATATCATAAAGATATAAAACATGAGCAACTTAGTTGAAAAATAATACATGTAAGTGAAGATATAAGAAGAAATAAATTTCTAATTTTCTATTAAAAACCCAAATTGTTTTATAGATGCATTTTAATCAAAACAACTATACATAACATCACATATGATATTATATGCAATATAAAGATATCAAATTCAGTACAATACATTAAAAAGTTAGAGGCTGTCATTTGGCTGAAAGACTGTTTTAAATTAAATACAAAACTATAAGCATCTACTTCATTTAATTTTCCTCTATTATCTTTAACAATTTCACTTAAAAAATATCTATTATGCAGATATCAAATTCACTTCTTAATTCTTCTTTTTGTGTATATATATATATGATATTACTGTATCAATACAAAATATTCCTTGTTTACAAATTCATTCATATGTAACAGGGAATTTATGGAAAGATAAATTAATCCAATAATTTTTAATATCACTTATTTTCAGCCGCTGAATGATTTAGCTGAATTTTTTTTTTGGGGGGGGAGGTGCATTTTGTGAACATACAAAATAGTATCAAATGAAGTGCAATGAAAGTAAAAATTCATAAATAAAAATGTACAATTTGAATTCAATTATTACATTTTAAAAACAAATGAGAATATGCTATATAAAAACATTACACACTGCACTTTGAATAAATGAACAAAATAATGTTCTTAAATTATATTTTATATTCATATTTATAAAAAGTCAGATGGGTATAAACAAACACACAATTGAGTTTTCAAATAACATATTTTTATATGCAAGTCTCTGAATTATAATATATATATATATATATAAAAGAAGCCATACTGACCCAAATGATTTTATCAGTTTTTATTGGTATTGTTTCAAAATATATCTTTAATATACTTTATCATGAATTTTCAGTTATAAACATAAAGATTCCATAAAACTGGTTTTACTGAAATAGTGCTATATATAAAGCTCTTTTGCTCTTCAGAATAATATAACAGTTGACACTTAAACAGTAGGCATTATTTTCCTACGATAAGCACAAAAAGGCTTCAGATGACAAATAGTAGTACTTTATCAACACATCAAATTTGGGTACTATCATATTAGTCAAACACAAAACAAAGTCTATTAATAAATAATTAATAATAATAATAGAAGTGACCTGAAACTTTTAACTGATGAAAAAAGCAACACTGATATATTTTTCTGGAAACATAAATTGAAGCTTCTCAAAATAAACACACATATATGTATTTGCTCCAAACTGCTCCTTTATATATAATTAAAGCAATTCATATAAAACCAGTCATGTATAATAGTCTCCTGCTTATGATAAACAAACATGAAAGCAAACAAATATTTAATTTTTTGGTTAAATATGTAATACAGTTTATTTCTTAAATTTTCTTAAATTTGTCCGAAAATTGTTCTCTTTTTTTGCTGTGCTATGTTTTAAAGAAGGCTTGTCAGTTCCAAATGCTGCATTTAAAGCAGCAGGATCAATTTCACATTTGGGCTCATTCCTATTTAAATCTCTCATTTGCTGAACATCACCTATACAACCAGAAGTTGGTGAGGGGTAAGCTGAATCTTTCACTGTTCCTGAACTTCCAATAAGAGGTGAAAGAGATGAAATTCCAGTACGATTAACTGATAAATCTTGCCTAAATGGAAGAAAACAGTCATTTTGAGTTTTATGATGATACATTTTTTACACATTTACAGCACATTAGTTTAACTATAAATAACAATTTTTTAACTAAAATAGATATATAAATGTTATATATATACACACACACACACATTTATATGTCTAGTCCCAACGAGTCCAGATTAAAGACTTTTGACTGTATCAAAAGTCTTTAATCTGGACTCGTCGGGACTTCGGCAATTCCGGATTATAGATCATCAGTTTAAATCTGGTAAGATGCCATGCAGAAATTATAAAATTAAAAATATGAAACCGTAATTTATGAAATAAAGAGCAATTATGATATAAAGGGTATCAAAATTTACAAACAACCCTCCCCCCAAAAAAAGCTTAATATTTATTTGTTTACTTTATAAAACATTTCTTTCAACGCGCGCATATGTAAAGCATACATTACGCATTGTCTAAATTAGAAAATTGCAACCAGAAAACCATTTGATGTGTATTTGTGATATTTATAATAACGAGGAATTTGATTTAAATCATATCAAAGACAGAGTACAACGAGATGAAATACTACATTCAGTAAGGAATTATAAGCCAAATAAAATAAAAACATCTGCCCTGAAGATAAGGATAGTGCCGACAGATCAACTTCCAGTTCATTGCGCGCCGCAATGTCCCCCACCCCCCGCAGAGCAGCGTGAAACTGATACACAGATTTCGGAATGGTTAGAGAAACAAATCACCTCTCTGTCACTCTGTTCATGCCTTTATCCATTTTTTGCAGCAATTACACTTTTTGGTTGATGGACATCCAAATATGATTTTGTTGTGTAGATCCTTCAGCAGCTCCAGAATCGGAAATTCTTTTTGACATAATCGAAAGTTCAAGCTTACTTTTACAAAATTACTCTAACAGTCTGCAAAAAATAATAAGCTGCATCCAATTAGAAGATTAAGGAACAATGCAATCTGCAACATTAACTGAAATAAATAATTTTATCTTAGCTTATACTGTCCGTTATACATTAAACGCGCATGCGCAGAAATAGCTATTATGCGTTTACACATGCGCAGAAAGGTTGTAGCTTTGAGGTCCGGATTATAGATCATTCCGGATTAAAGACTTTGGACTGTATTTCACTTGAAATATCTTATACATAACATATATTTTAAGTGTGAAGATATAAATAAAAGAATTCTGGATAGATAATACAGCAATCCTTGGGGTGGCATAAAATAACACATTGTTTTAAATTATTTATTGAAAAACATACTCTAATACACTTCTTGCAGCTGCCTTTTCAGCATATATAGGCAATGTTTATCACCCTTTGATATGATGGCTTCCAAGTTTGAATCTTGGAGAAGGCATGAAAATTTGTACAGCATCTTTGTAGCAAGATGGCTTTTAAAATTACTGTTAAATTCATACCCTAGGAGTTTTCCATCAAAATTAGAAATTAAACAAGAGGCACAGGCAGTAGTCCTAGAAAACAGATCAATATATCTTTTTGACTGCCCATTCCCAAGCTAGAGACATTACGCACTTACAAAGAATCATGCCAGCAGAATTCAAACCCAGGCTCGATATGGCAGCGAGCACTGCAACACTATACTGATCACGGCAGCAGAGCTAAGCAACAGCAGAATTTTACAGTCAACATGCTAAATTCCCACTTTACTTTCTGCCCCTCTGTTGGAGCATGTACCTAATGTCCCACGTTCTGCAATGATAAGTAACAACAAAAAGTAAAGGGAGAAAGACATTATACAGCAAATTAAATACTGTGAAAAAGGTTACTTTACTTCAGGTGTGATGAGTGTTAGAGAATATTACATTGAGAGAACAATATCAAAGGACAGCTGAAGAAACAGACAAATTCTTAATTATTTTGGAGAAATATACGAGTTTAAAATTTATTTTGAGATTATATATTAAAAAAAAAAAAAAAGGACCAATAAAAATAGGTGAAATTTATAAAACTGCAATATAATATATGATACTTGTGTAGCCTTTTCTTTCCCTTTACCATCTTAATTTGATATTTATATGCCATCCTGGACAACATGGTGGTCAGTCGGGGTAACAGCACATGTTATTAAGCCAAAGTCTAAATGCCAGACAAGATAGCAATGTTGTCAATGTAAGTACCTTTAAGGAATGTGAAGACTTGAAAATCTAAAATTATTTTCAAGAGCTTGCTGGCAGTGGACAAGGGGTATCAAAACCTTGGATCTTGAAAGAGTATTCTTAGTCAAAACTTGAAGCTCTGGCAAATAGCCTTCATGTAAAACACAATTAAACAATCCACCAAAATTTACATTTATTTATAAGTTGAAATAAATACACTCCTCTAATTTGTACTAAACTGACAGTTTGTATAACATAATATTTACTTTAAATGCCATAATTATCGTAATTTTCCAATCTCAATTATTAAAAATAAAATTTAAATTTTTGTTTCATGAAAGCTTACATAGTACCTCAGTAATAACTGTTAGACCTTCAGGTAGAACATGCATGGAACTTTTTCACTAAATGTAACTTGTGTGTGATTATGATATTAATATCAGCAATGCTACTGTCGTTAAAATAACATTATGTGGTACTCATAGGTATTCAAACTAAAAATATTTTCTTAACCATGACAAGAGTTATTTGGAAAATGGATTTTACTTAGTGTGGCAATTACAATAAACAAAACCTTAGTGTTGTATGCTAGAAAATTCTTGCAAACAAATGCATGAAACCCCAAACTGAAATGGCACTTCGTGATGAAACATGCAAGTGTAACAAGTAAATCTGTCGAATTGTTTCAAGCATTTGATAAAGAACTGATTTAAAAAATCAAAGTTGTTTCTCAAAAAAGGTTCTGCTTTTAAAAAACCTTCGTATTGCAAAAAGCAGGACATACTATTCTATAGGTTGAGACTTTAATACTTCCAGCTATAAAAGTCATAATCAAAAATATGTTTAATAAAAAATTCTCTAAGGACACTGATTTAAAACCACTCTCAAATTTTACATTAACAATCCGAATTAATGACATGGCTAATAACATAGAATCTATATTTATCAATAGAGAGAAGAAATTATATTTTATTCACCTCAGAAAGACCAGATAACTGATGTTTCGAATTACACACAGTTGATTTGTTATGTCAGATATGAATTTAATAATGACATTTGTGAAGACATGTTAATTTTAAATCTCCTGCTAACTTGTTAACTGGAGAACAAATTTTTGAAATCCTAAAGAATACATGAAAGTTGTTGGAAAAAATGTGTAAGCATATGCTTGGATGAGGTTCATGTGCTCGACAGCAGGCATTTACACGCTAAATATCATTGTACCTAATGTTATTTTACACGCTAAATATCATTGTACCTAACCTTAGAGCGGTGGCATCTGTAATAAGGACAATTACAGCAATTGTCCTTCCTGGCGGGAGGATGTTGTTGCAACTCAACTCTTGCTGAGATCCAATGGCTGAGTGACGTCATTTCGAACTATGAACTCTCGCTTAGAGATCACAAGAACTTGGAACTGAGAAGTCGCACGCTGCGCCGTGCGAAAATTAAAACCTTTTTTCATAATGTAAATATTTTGTAACCTTTTGCATCTTTATTAAATATGTTTGTGTAAAAAAGTACTTATCATTTATGGATTATTCCTCTCAAGATTTTGCAGATAGAGTTGCACAGAGGAGATCAACCCGTGGCCCTGGCAGAACCCATTGGAACAAGGTAAGCAGTTTTGTTTTACCTTGATTAATTAGAAGTAATGATAATGACAAGGATATAAATAATAACATTGTGGCGCCATAGCATGAGGCCATTGAGTTGAATTTGAACTGAAATTTAATAGATTTTGCTTAAACAAAAACATGGATTTAGAAAAATTAAATAGTTACGAGACTGATAAATAAGATAGAAAGAGAAATTGCTAATGAGGGTGATAAAAATGTAATTTAAGAAACGGTTGCTCAGTTAATTAGTAAAGAAGAAGAACTAATCTTAGCGGATAATGGTATTGAAACTTTAATTGATGTAACAAATTTAGAAGATGAAATAATGTCTAGAGAAGAGTATAAAAGTAAAATTATTGTTTGGAAATTACGCGCAAAAAGATATTTAAATACTAATCCACATAGCACTAATTCTACTTCATAAGGAACTCTCACTGAATCGCAGAACACAATTAAACTTCCCAAATTGGCACTGGAAATATTTTCGGGAAAGGATGTGTGCAGTTGGCCCAAGTTTTGGGCATGATTTGAGACAGCTGTACACGAAAACTAAAGTCTTCATGCGGTAGATAAATTTAACTATTTAAAGTTAATTCTTACTTCCGACGCAGAAACTGCAATACAAGGGTTGACGTTACAGCGGAGAATTACGAGAAGGCTGTGAAAATATTAAAAGATGGCTTCAGACGCAAAGAACTAATAATAGATACCCATATGAACAATTTATTAACTCTGACTCCGGTTAAAAGGTCTTGCGATGTGACAGCACTTCGAAAATTATATGATCGTTGTGAAGTACAAATTAGAGGATTAGAATCGTGTAATATTTTACCGGATTCGTACAGTACCTTATTGTATCCCTATATTAATAAAGGTGATTCCAAATGATTTAGCACTAGAATTTAATAGGAAATATAAAGATGATAACCAGACAAAAATTACAAATTTGCCAAATTTTTTAAGAAAAGAAATAGAAAGTCGAGAACGTACAGGATTTTTAATTAAGCCAACAGATTCTGAAGTCCCTGAAAAGAAATCCCATTTTGAAAATAAGCGGCAGTTTCGAGAACGTTTTCGAGACAACGAAAGAAATCGGGATTATAATAAGGGTAGAATTCCTTCAGCAGCAGTGTTAAACACATCACTATCTAATAGCTGTTTATTCTGTTTTGAAAATCATACATCAGAATCATGTCAAAAGACTGTGCCAAAAAAAAGGAAGCGTTAAAGCGAAGTGGAATTTGTTTCGTGTGCCTC